GAGCCACTCCATGAAACAACACGGATGCCCCAGGCTGCATTTTACATAAGGGAAAACCATACCTCTTGTATCAGTCCAATTCTGTTGCTTATCACAAAATACCTGGAACTAGGTGATTTATAAGAAAACAAAATTTATTGCTTACAGTTTCAGAGGCTAGGAAGTCCAAAATCCAGGGAACACATCTGGTGAGGGTCTTAGTGGTCATGACAGTGATGGGAGAGTATCACATTGCAGAAATGGTGGAGCAGACAGAGCAAACGAGAGAAACCAACCTCCTCATTCACTCTCCTTCTAAAGCCCCCAGAACCACGCCCCTGACCACCATTATTAACCCATTCACTACTGCACAGTCCTACAATCCAATCACCTCTTCAAGGCCCCACCTTTCAGTTACCATAATAGCATTTCCCACCCTCTTAACAGTCACAGTGGGGGCCAAGTTTCTAATACATAAAACTTGGGGGACACAATTCAAGCCTCAGTGAATTTGAGGGATGGGGACATTCAGTCTACCAACCTCTTATCAAGTATTCCAGTGACCAGTCATTTTAAAGCACTGTTTTTAAGTGTCCAGGTATGTGATATCCAAATACCTGAGGAAGCTTCTATGATTTGGAAAGGCTTAGACTGGTCCTAGTGCTTTAAGACTTGCAAGCTTCTGACTCTATCAAAACATCAGATCTTCAATGGGCTGTCCCACTGCTTCTGCACAATGTTCTTCCCTCCCCACTGGGCCTGATCCTCCTCCAGAGAGTCTATCTTAGCCAATGGGGCCATCGGCCATCCGGTTATGAAAGTCATGAACCTGAGTCTCCTTTACTCTTCTTCTCGTTTACCCTTCCTATTCTATCAATCCTCACCTATTGATTGGTTCTACCTGCTTCATTATCTCCCACATCCATCTGTTCCTCTCCATTTCTATTGCTACTAAGCCTGACCAGGTCAAGAAACTTTGTAATTCAGTCAATGTTCTTTTGGGTAATGGAAATAAACTTAGAGTTTTAATAATATCCAAGGACTTATAAATGATCATTTATCTAACAGGTTATCTTTTAAAGGACAATGAAGTTCTACGACTGTCTTAAAACATTAAAATGAAGAAATAGAACTAAGTTGCTGTTAATAAAAAGTGACACACATGAGCGCATCATTTTGCTTCCTGAGATAAGGAAATGATTGATTCAACTAACATTTACTGAGTACCAACTATACCTGTATATCAGGCATTTTCTAGGCATGGGAAATACAGCAGTAAATAAGACAGATGAAATCCTTGTGCCTAGGCATATTGTACTGTAGCAGGATATATAGACAATATCTTTTTTAGAAATAGATTCAGAGCCGAAAGACATAGAAAATTTTCTGTTAAACACTAAAATTTCCAAATTGTTTCAAATTCTAGCAAAAGCTAATTCTTCAAAATGTTCAAATATTAATTCATAGAAAGTTCACAAATGGTAATAATTCAACTATTTTTTTCCGAGGTGTAATAAAATGCAAGAAAGACAGAAGCCCCTCCGGTCCTCAGCAATGTCCCCTTTGCATGAACCCCAGGACCTCTAAAGGCAAGCCCTTAGCTGTGGCCCCAGCAGCAGCTTTCCTGTGTGCCAAGCCCACCATCGACACATCCCTGAAATCAAAGAACCTGACTATACTGGAAGATGGTGATTCTGCCTCCATCTCTCCCCAGGACTTCGTAGCACCCTTAGGCTCCCTCACTTTGAATATGACAGATCAGTCTGGAAATGAAGCTAACATGGTCTGCAGTATCCAAAAGCCCTTGAGGACATCACCCATTACATTCACTGAAGAAAATGACTACGTCATGCTAAATACGTCATTTTCAACATTTCTGCTGTGCAACATAGATTACAGTCACATTCAGTCAGTGTGGCAGCTTCTGGCTTTGTACAGTGATTCCGCTCTGATACTAGAAAGGAGCCACTCGCTCACTGACACACCACAGCTCTGTTACAAATATAAACAGGTGGCTCTTAATCCTGAAGACACTTTTAGTAACATAAAGGCTGATCTCAGAGCAGATCCCTCTTGGTTAATGCAAAGCCAAATTTCCTTGCAGCTAAACAGAACTGCCACCACGCTCGGCACATTATGGATCCGGTACTCCAGTAACGCGCAAGTCACTTTACCAAGGGCAGAGGTGAGGCCGGTGAAACACAAATGGACCATGATCTCGAGGGACAACAATACTAAACTGGAACGCACTGTTTTGGTAGGAGGGACCGTTGACTTGAACTGCCCAAGCCACGGTGACCCCACCCCACATTTGGAGTGGCTTCTGGCTGATGGGAGTAAAGTGAGAGCCCCTTATGTGAGTGAGGACGGACGAGTCCTAATAGACAGAAATGGAAAGCTGGAGCTCCAGATGGCTGACAGTTTTGACACAGGCATGTATCACTGCATAAGCACCAGTTACGATGATGCAGACATTCTCACCTACAGGATAACTGTGGTGGAGCCCAGCATAGAAGCCTATCAGAGTGAGGACGGACGAGTCCTAATAGACAGAAATGGAAAGCTGGAGCTCCAGATGGCTGACAGCTTTGACACAGGCATGTATCACTGCATAAGCACCAGTTACGATGATGCAGACATTCTCACCTACAGGATAACTGTGGTGGAGCCCAGCGTAGAAGCCTATCACGAAAATGGGGTTCATCGCACAGTTTTCACTGGTGAAACACTCGACCTTCCATGCCATTCTACTGGTATCCCAGATGCCTCTATTAGCTGGGTTCTTCCAGAAAACACAGTGGTCTATCAGTCCTCTAGAGACAAGCAAGTTCTTAGTAATGGCACATTAAGAATATTACAGGTCACCCAAAAAGACCAAGGTCATTATCGCTGTATAGCAGCCAACCCATCAGGGGTCGATTTTTTGATTTTCCAAGTTTCAGTCAAAATAAAAGGACAAAGGCCAGTGGAGCATCACGAAGAAACAGATGGGTCTGGATTGGATGAGCCCAATCCCACTGCTCACCTTAAGTTTCCACCAGCTGTACAACCCCCTACATCTGCTCCAGTGGGAGCTGAGGTTGGAAAACAGGTCTCAAGCACAAGTAGGAAGCACAACTCTCAGGAGTTAATACACCAGCAACGTGAGGAATCAACAAATCGACGTTTTAGGGAGCACAGGAGACACTTCCTTCCCTCTGCTCGTAGAATTGACCCACAGCACTGGGCAACACTTTTGGAGAAAGCTAAAAAGAATGCTGTGCCAGAGAAACGAGAAAATACCACAGTAAGGCCACCTTCACCAGCCACCCACCTCCTGAAAATACCTGGTGAGGAAGAAGACTCTTCAGCCATGCTCCCTCCAGATGAGGAATTTATGATCCTGGCAACTAAAGCTTCGAATGTTCTTGTAAGGCCAGTGACTGCTGATTCCAGAACAATATCTGATAGCCCTGTGACATATACAACTTCTGGCACAGAAGTCTCTCTAATTGTGAGTCCACAAATACTACCACCTGAAAAACCTATAGATTTCAAACTCTCTACTGCTATTAAAACTACAACCATATCAGAGAATACAAACCCAACCATATCAAGCAAAATGCATGGGACAACCAATCAAAATTCATCTACTATCCTTCCACTACTACCTGGAGTGACTGAATTTCAGGACGCTGACCAGATGGGGAGAAGAGAGCCTTTCCACAGTGCACCCCCAGTAACAGTGAGGACTGGGATCAAAGATGTCAATATCAAAATGCTTAGTAGCCCTAACAGCAAAGCTCACCTATTCTTGGAGTCAGTAAATACCACGAATGGTCAACAAACACCTGAGCCCAGGAGCAATCACTTCTATTCTCACACTACTCAGAAACCGAGCACCTCTGGGCTCCCTTCAGATCCACACACTGCTGCTCATCCTCAGCTTCAGATTCCTAGAAACAGTACAATTAACATACCACTGTCTAGACGCTTTGGGAGACGGAGGAAAATTTGGGGCAGGGGACAGATTATCAGCCCATATAGAACTCCGATTCTCCGAAGGCATAGATATGGCTCTGTGAGGCCAACATCCAGAGATTTTTCCAAAGGAAGCACTACTGCATTTTCAGCCACAGACTTCAATGTCATGTCCGATTCTCCGAAGGCATAGATATGGCTCTGTGAGGCCAACATCCAGAGATTTTTCCAAAGAAAGCACTACTGCATTTTCAGCCACAGACTTCAATGTGATATGCCCGTCCTGTCCTCCCAGAGAGAGACTCACCACTGCTACAGCGACTTTGTCTTTTCAAAGTTCTTCCCCCTTCCCCCTTTCCAAAGCTGACCTTGCCAGAGTTGTATCAGAAGAGTCTACAACTCTAGTCCAGAATCCATCATTGCTATTTGAGAATAAACCAAATGTAGACATTGAGAAAACAACACTCACAATAAAATATTTCAGTGCTGAGAGTACCCAAGTGACTCCAACTGCTGCAGTCACAACTCAAGCCCCAGCTTCCATATCTATGGAAAAAACTCATGGAACAAATATTGGTTACCCAAGTGCATCTGGTACCAGTGAAGCTAAAGGAGATTCGGTCATTACACCGCCCCTTTCTGGTCCCACCACCAAGCCATCAGTGCCTACTACTATTGCCATTACAGGATTTTCAGGAAGGAAAATTCCCTGGCATCACATCTTTGCAAATAGCCATCACCAAAAAGAGAGATCAAGAAATCAGCTTAAATTTGTTTTACAAAAAAGCACAACTATGATGCTTCCTAACATAACTCCTGCTTTACCCACAGATAAAGTTTCCCCCTTCCATTTCACAACGCTCCCAGCAGGCACGGTGCAAATTCCCTCTGTAACACTGCCTACAACTCACCACAATTCCACCAAAACACACAGTTCTAGAAGCTTCCCAACAATGAAGGAGCTGCCCTTCCCCACCCTCTACCCCACACTCCCTAGTATCTCAAGCAAAGAATCAAGTATTACAAGCTTCTTATCAATGCAAACAGCCACACTGGCAACTGCTCCCACTGCCCCTGCATCCGTCATTATCTCTAAAACCCAAACAGCGAGTCCCACAGCACAAAAAGTACAAAGGAAAAAGGAGCCTCAGAAGGACACGAATGACCCAAACATCTCTCCAGGCCAGAGTTCTGGCTTCACCACACCCACTGCTATGACACCTTCTGTTCCAACCACAGTTGAACCTTCGATTGATCCCAGTGTCTCTGCTTTTACTCACTCCTCCCTAGAAAACACAAATGGAATTTTGAACACAATTGTTCTTCATTCAAGAACTCCTAATCTGACAGACGTAACTAAAGAACTACTTCAAGTGAGTCCTGAGACTCTGAAGAGCACAACTGCTTCTGAAACAACTTTGTCCAGCAAATCACACCAGAGTACCACAACTAGGAAAACAATCATGAGACACTCGACAGTGACAACATTCCTGAGCAGCAGTGCCACTGTAATGCCAATCCCCATCTCCCCTCCCTTCACTCAAAGTGCAGTTACTGACAACGTGGTAACTCCCATTTTCAGGACAATGACTAACACAATGGTCAAGTCACATGAACCTGCAAAGCACAATCCTAAACCACAGCAATTAGTAGTAGAGGCTGCAGAGTCTCCCAAGTCTTGCCCAAATGCCACGTCCACCGTTGGAACCACTGACTCTATCTACTCTAATCTGTTACGTTCTACTCCGATGCCAGCACTAACACCAGTTACATTACAGAATTCTAAATTGTCTCCCTCTCTCTGGTCAGAAAATCAATTTTGGCACAAGTCATACCCAGAAATTGCTGAAAAGGGTGAAAAGCCAATAGTAAGCATGCCGCCCACTGTAGACTTACCAGAGGCCACCACCCGTGCCTCAAATTGGGACGGACAGAAGAGTGCGAAAGAGAGTGGCTTTGATGAGAAACCAGTTCAGAAAATAACTTCCAAACTCTTTCCTTTTGACTCCTTGTCTAGGAATATATTTGAAAAGCCCAGAATAGTTGGGGGGAAAGCTGCAAGTTTTACTGTTTCAGCTAACTCAGAGGCCTTTCTTCCATGTGAGGCTGTTGGAAATCCCCTCCCCACCATCCACTGGACCAGAGTCTCATCAGGTATTTGAAACTGTTTCTTTACACTTAGTCTTCTTTGGCTATAAAACAAGGAAAAAATTGTGTTATATTTCAGGGTTATGCATCCAAAGAATCAATACCATTTTCAAGTTTCTCCAATATAAACAAAGAATCAATACCTTTTTCAAGTTTCTCCAATATAAATAAACTGTTAATATTATCCTTTGACATTTGCATCTTTTTTGTTGTTCATTAGGTTTTAAAATATATGTTAAAAACTTTTTTTGTAATGCTTTGAAAGCAGATCCAAAGAAATATGATTTGAAAAAGAGAGAACGGTCATTATTGAACCCTCTGGCTTTTAAATTAAAATTGTTAAGTTAAAATTATGTTATACTGTGTTAAAATTATGAATAAAAAAATCCAGGAATAATTTTAGGACTAGGTGTCTTAATTTTAATTTTAAATGTATTCTCAGTAGCCCAACACAAAGAGAGCTTTATGTTTTCTATCTAAACTTTGATGACTTATGGCATAAATTTCTTTCTTCTTATCAGGACTTGATTTGTCTAAAAGGAAACAGAATAGCAGGTTCCAGGTGCTCCCCAATGGCACCCTGTCCATCCAGAGGGTGGACATTCAGGACCGTGGACAGTACCTGTGCTTGGCATCCAATCCGTTTGGCACAGACCGCCTTCATGTCACCTTGTCTGTGGTTTCCTATCCTCCCAGGATCCTGGAGAGACGTACCAAAGAGATCACAGTTCATTCTGGAAACACTGTGGAACTGAAATGCAGAGCAGAAGGCAGGCCAAGCCCTACGATTTCCTGGATTCTTGCAAACCAAACAGTGGTCTCAGAATCATCCCAGGGAAACAGGCAGGCCCTGGTGACATTTGATGGAACGCTGGTCATCCGCAACCTCAGCATTTACGACCGTGGCTTTTACAAATGCATAGCCAGCAACCCAGCTGGCCAGGATTCACTGCTGATTAAAATGCAAGTCATTGCAGCCCCACCTGTTATTCTAGAGCAAAAGCGGCAAGTCATTGTAGGGACTTGGGGTGAAAGCTTGAAACTGCCCTGTACTGCAAGAGGAACTCCTCAGCCCAGTGTTCACTGGGTCCTCTCTGATGGCACTGAAGTGAAACCATTACAGTTTACCAACTCCAAGTTGATCTTATTTTCAAATGGGACTCTGTATATAAGAAACATAGTCTCTTCAGACAGGGGAACTTATGAATGCATCGCTACCAGTTCCACTGGCTCGGAGAGAAGGGTGGTAACGCTTACGATGGAAGAGCAAGAAACCACTCCCAGGATAGAAGTTGCATCCCAGAAATGGACTGAGGTGAATTTTGGGGACAAATTACTACTGAACTGCTCAGCCACTGGGGAGCCCAAACCCAAAATAATCTGGAGGTTACCATCCAAGGCTGTCATTGGCCAGTGGCACAGGTAAACCTGTACCTTTGTGTTGGAATTACTTCTGTTTAGCTGTGCAACTTCTGAAATGGAAAAAGTGGTCCAGCAAGGCTAGCAGCAGTTTTAGAGAGCACATAGACTCTGCGCATAAAGTCACCCCTCTCTAAAGAAACCTAATCCTCTTGAGGTCATTTGAACATGAAAATGCTTAACTCTTAAGGGCCAACGTCTTGAGTTTATACAAGAGGTCTTCAAAAAGTTCACAGAAGGATTCATATTATCTTTTAATTCAAAAGTTCTATGAACTTTTAAAAGTACTCTCGTATAGTTAAAAGCAGAATCAAAATTTTATTTGTCTCCAGACTGTGAGTTTTAAAATGGTAACTGTGTAAGTGTATTCATACTCTCCATATCCAGAAACAAGGAGGGAATTTCTGTGATGCAGTTGAAGTTCTGGAGAGAAACGCTCCATTATTTCACTCTTCAAAGTCTCCTATTAGACATTTTAAACTTTAGTAAAATCAGCACTTAATTTCTTCTTTCCCAAAATTGCGAAGTACTTTAGGAAAGTCACAACATTAAGGCCTTCACAAAATTAAATGCATTCAGGATTTCCTTCCTCTGATGTGGTCAGACAAATACATACATAGATCTGCTTTCTTTCTTCTTTCCCAAAATTGCGAAGTACTTTAGGAAAGTCACAACATTAAGGCCTTCACAAAGTTAAATGCATTCAGGATTTCCTTCCTCTGATGTGGTCAGACAAATACATACATAGATCTGCTTTCTCTAGTATGCTCTTTTATAAGCACATTAGTATTCATTTCATGGCTGGTTTTCTGAATAGATGAAATCTATCTTTGAAAAGCAATAATTGTAGCATATGGGTTATTAATTTTTTCCATTTGCATGACTTTATGTGATGATTTTCCATAATATGCCAGGAAAAGATAAGGATGAGCATTTCCATTTTACATATGTTTATTCATTAATAGAAAATGTCCACACAGGAAAAATTATACATAGTGGATATGAATTTATACTCATGCTTAGAAGTTGAAGAGCAGATTTTTTTCTAGTTTCACAATATGAGTTGGTACTTAATGAATTTAACTTGTGATTTCTAATTCAAAAGTAAATGTTACTTTTCAAGTTTTTCAAATAGTCATCAAAATTACCTGACTAAATGTTAAATTGAATTTAGTACAGATTTAAAATTTTAAAATTCTGAGTTGTGAAATGTGAACTTTAGAAACCATGTTATTTTTTTATCCACTACACATAAACCCATTATAGCATCAAATATTTTCAATGCTGTATGAGCTTTTGCATTTAATTTCACAATATCAGCACCTTTAATTTTTTTATCTTCAAGTTACTGTAAGCATTTCATTAATGTTGAATGCCAGTTCTATTTTCTGAAATTAACACATTTAAAATACATTCCACAGCACATGGGGTATGATTCTCATTTACCCAGAGACTGCTCATTATTTGTGTAATTTTGAATATAATTCTCACTAACCACACAGAAACCAGTGCAAGTGTAGAAAGCATCACATTTGTGATAGGAATAACAGATAAATTTCAAAATTTAGTTTGTAAAGACTATGTCCAAAATATTCACTGGGCATTAGGTCAATTTTAGAAAATAGAAACCTTTTATCAGGAGCTATGATAAAATGTAAGGAAATGTCTTAAAAGTCTGCAAATTATTCCAAAATGCATTATTAGCATCTCAGAATAAATCTTGACTAGGTATTCCAACAAATCCCTCAAAGTTAAATAGCAAAGAAATTAGGCAGGCTATTTATGTTTTGTTTGGGGAACATACTTATGGAACACAGAAAGATTGTTCATATGTGGAAGATGCAAAAGAGTGTGTAAGATCGCACACACTGTAGTGGACCCACCACAGGCACTGCGTTCTTTTCTAATGAAAAAGAATTTGTTTGCTAAGTGAGCACTGCAATGATTATTTTGCAACTAACCTACTCAAGAAGGCAAAAATATTCTTTATTTAGATGCTTTAAACATGTCAACAGAAGGAAGAATGGCACTTCTATTGCAAAAGAGAAGAACAAAAACCTTACTCTTCCCACTTCTTGGCATTACAAGTTTAAATTTATTTTAGATTCTAAAAATGAGAAAATTTTCATCATAGCTATGCTGATCCGAGTCCACCCCACCATGCCCCAAATAAGCAAAATTTGTTCATTTTCTTAAAGCCTGTTTGTCAGCTGAACCAAAAATCTAGCTTTATCTCAGAATTTTCAATGGTCCCAGACTCAGAGTATTGCTAGTCTATTTCCAGTACTTTCAACATAACTTATGCAACCTGTTTCAGTGCAGAACTGTGTTTCCTTTCCTCTGGAACGTTGTTCCTCATGACCTAGGAGCTTATTACGAGTGCGGAATGTCAGACCCCAGACCCACTGAATAAAAATCTGCACTTTTTACAAAGATCCCTATGTGAATCATATGGAAATAAAGTCTGAGCAGCAGTGCTTGGAAAGGCTGTAGATGGCTTGCCTCTACATTCATCTTTATAAAGAATTCTATTTCTTTTAATCAGGGAAAACTTCTTTCAAAAGCAAATTCTCTCTTAAAAATATCAGTTTATAAAAAGAAACAGCTATAGTTCTGTCTCTTCTTATATATTACAATCTCCAGTTGAATCAGATTTGGGGTGGGAGTGTCACTCTCAGTCAGTGGTTCTCAAAGGGTAGTCCCCTACCAATAGTATTAGTATTGCCTGAGAATTTGTGGAATAGAAACTTTGATCCTAGGTTTTAATAAGCAATCTGTGTTGTTAAAAGTCCTCCAGGTGATTTTGGAGCACAAATTTGAGGCTAGTTCTCCAACTTGACTTTTCATAAGTCACCTGGGAAGTTTGTTAAACAGTGATTCCTAGATCCCTAGCCAGAGCTATTGAATCAGAATCTCTGGAAAATGAAGCCGGGAAATATGGGTCTTAAATTCGACCTCATGTAATTCTGATACAGGTGATGGAAGAAGTGCACTGAGAACCAACATTTAGAGCCGTGGTTCTTAGACTCCGCTGCACACATCAATCTATCATCTGGAAATCTTTAAGAATCCTGATGCCTAGATCACACTCCACACTAAGTCAAAAATCTGGAGGTGGTATCCAGCCATCAGTATTATTTTAAACTCCACAGTGACTTTAATGTGCAAACAAGTTTGAGAATCTGTGCTTTTAGAAAGCACGAGGAAGTAATAGCAGTGTAGCATGGTGAAAAACACTGGGTTTGGGAACCAGTCCTGTGGCCTATGGCAAGTTATTAAATCTTTCTAAATATCTGTTTTTTTTCAGCTGTATAATGGGAGAACTACTTCAAGATTTAAAAACCAGTGCAAAGCACCTGGCAATTTCCATTCCCTTTTTAAGTGCATCCATTATGATGTTTGCCTTGGTTTATATGCCAGAGAATTTTCTTCCCCATGAGAAAAAATAAATAAATGAAAGCTACAGTACCCTCCATACCTCATGACTTGAAGCTGTTTGATTTGGCTAGCAGTTCAGCTACGAAAAGCAGTCCTCGCTTTTCTCTCCAGTTTCATATACCTACTTAGCCCAAGCTGCCAGAAATTAAGAAAAACATACATATGCATTTTCACCTGTGGGTGGTCCTTGAACATCACAGCTTCAGCACCAATGCAATATCCACTGGTCATTCTGAAAAACTAGACTAACTTTTACCTGGAAAGATACCTTGAACATCACAGCTTCAGCACCAATGCAATATCCACTGGTCATTCTGAAAAACTAGACTTTTACCTGGAAAGATTTGCCATCTGGTGTTTAAGTATAGTAACAGCAGGCTGCGCAGTGGCTGCACTCTTGAGGGAGAAAAATGGTGTTCCACACAGCTCAACCTAATGCGGACACCAAGGAGCCACTTCACAGCTGCCCAGAGGGCAGACGCTGCAGCAAGCTTCTAATAGGTCTTATGTTGGCATTCTTTCTCTTTACAATAAAGTAGAACTCATTTTCCAACGGAATAATTCAATAACTGTTTTGTCACTAATACCTTTTTAAAAAGTATCAGCCTGGCATCTTTTCTGAGAAAGTTAATTTTTATTAAAGTTATTTTCTTCCGTACTGGTATCACAAAATGATAATTTTTGTGGACCTATTAGTTTATTTGATATGTAAACTGGTCAATGAGTCATGGTGTCTAGGAATCCAATATTTACAGCATTCCACTCATCATTAAAATGATTTTTTTTAAAAATTACCATGTAAAGGAGGTTCATTTGAAGTTCATCTGAGAAATACTACTTGTTTACACTAAATTATACCTGTTCAGTTAATTTCGTCTTTCAGCAAATGGCTTAGAAGATAATAAACTAGTACTGATTATAATTTTCATTGCAAGTTTAAAGCTAATTGTAAGTACAAAAAAAAAAAAAAAAAAAACCTGTGTGTGAAGTGATGCATATGCTGATTAGCTTGATTGTGATCACTCCACAATGTACATGTATATTAAACCATCACACTGTACACTTTAAATATACATTTTGGTTAGTCATGACTCGATTAAGGGGGGGAAGAGTGCTAATCCCATGTAAATAAGACAACGTCCTCCACTGCTAACAGCTGTACACTCAAATTAGTTTCTTTTCTTCTTAGAATAGGCAGCCGAGTCCATGTCTACCCAAATGGATCCCTGTTTATTGGATCAGTAACAGAAAAAGATGGTGGTGCCTACTTGTGTGTGGCAAGGAACAGAATGGGGGACAATCTGATACTGATGCATGTCAGCCTGAGACTGAAACCTGCCAAAATTGACCACAAGCAGGATTTTACAAAACAAGTGCTCCATGGGAAAGATTTCCAAGTTGACTGCAAAGCTTCTGGCTCCCCGGTGCCCGAGATATCCTGGAGTTTGCCCGATGGGACGATGATAAACAATGCAATGCAAGCCGATGACAGTGGCCACAGGAGCAGGAGGTACACCCTTTTCAACAATGGGACCTTATATTTCAACAAAGTTGGTATAGCAGAGGAAGGAGATTATACTTGCTATGCCCAGAACACCCTAGGGAAGGATGAAATGAAGATCCACCTAACAGTTGTAACAGCTGTGCCACGGATAAGACGCGGTCACGATACCAACACAAGAACCAAAGTTGGAGACACAGCCATCCTTGACTGTGAGGTCACCGGGGAACCCAAACCAAAAATATTTTGGTTGCTGCCTTCCAATGACATGATTTCATTCTCCAATGATAGGTACACATTTCATGCCAATGGGTCTTTGTCCATCAACAGAGTAAAACTGCTCGATTCTGGAGAGTATATGTGCGTAGCCCGAAATCCCAGTGGGGATGACACCAAAATGTACAAACTGGATGTTGTCTCCAAACCTCCATTAATCAATGGTCTGTACACAAACAAAACTGTTATCAAAGCCACAGCCGTGAGGCACTCCAAAAAACACTTTGACTGCAGAGCTGAAGGGACACCATCTCCTCAAATCATGTGGATCATGCCAGACAATATTTTCCTTACAGCCCCATACCATGGAAGCAGAATCACAGTCCATAAAAATGGCACCTTGGAAATTAGGAATGTGAGGCTTTCAGATTCAGCTGAGTTTATCTGTGTGGCTCGGAACGAAGGAGGACAGAGCATTTTGGTGGTTCAATTAGAAGTACTGGAAATGCTGAGAAGACCAAAATTCAGAAATCCATTTAATGAAAAAATAGTTGCCCAGCTTGGAAAGTCCACAGCATTGAATTGCTCTGTTGATGGTAACCCTCCACCTGAAATAATGTGGATTTTACCAAATGGCACACGATTTTCTAGTGGACCACAAAATTCTCAGTACCTGATAGCAAGAAATGGTTCTTTTGTCATTCATAAAACAACTCGGGACGATGCAGGGAAATATCGCTGTGCAGCTAGAAACACAGTTGGCTATATTGAGAAATTAATCGTATTAGAAATTGGCCAGAAGCCAGTTATTCTTACATACGCGCCAGGGACAGTAAGAAGGATCAGTGGAGAATCTCTGTCACTGCAATGTGTATCTGATGGAATTCCTAAGCCAAATATCAAATGGACTATGCCAAGTGGTTATGTAATGAATAGGCCTCAAACTAATGGAAAATACATATTGCATGAAAATGGCACCTTAGTCATCAAAGAAGCAACAGCCTATGACAGAGGAAACTATATCTGTAAAGCTCAAAACAGCGTTGGCCACGCACTGATTACTGTTCCAGTAGCGATTGTAGCCTACCCTCCTCGAATTACAAGTCGCCCACCCAGGAGCATCCTGACAAGAACAGGAGCGGCCTTTCAGCTCCGCTGTGTGGCCCTGGGAATTCCCAAGCCAGAAATCACATGGGAAATGCCTGACCACTCCCTGCTCTCGGTGGCAAGTATAAGCAGAATGCAAAGTGAGCTGCTTTCCCCCCGGGGCACCCTAGTCATTCAAAACCCCCAGACCTCCGATTCTGGGATATACAAGTGCACAGCAAGGAACCCACTTGGCAGTGATTATGCAACAACTTATATTCAAATAATCTGACATGAAATAAAGTTAAAATGAAATCGAACATCTGGACAGAGTTTATTTTTTGGAAGAAGTTTAATCAAAGGCAGCCATAGGCATGTAAATTAATTTGAATACATTTACAATATTAAATTTACAATGAACATGCAAAAAAAAAAAAAGGGTAAATTAATTTGAATACATTTACAATATTAAATTTACAATGAACATGCAAAAAAAAAAAAAAAGGACTTAAATTTACAATGAACATGCAAAAAAAAAAAAAGGACTTGTAAATAAGTGCATTATGAACTGATACTGATTTGTTTAATGGATCTCAAAACAAACTTTTAACTTAAGGCACTTTTATTTTGCCAACAAATAACAAAGAACATTAAGAGAAAAAGGGCCACCATAAAATAACAAATGGCTAATGTACCTGAATTTTTCAGTAAAGAATGGACTTCTTTTTCTTTTACTACCAGTTGCCTAGTGTCCATTTTCTACCAATGTTACAAGCATGGCTCTCAGAACAGAGACAATGAGAAAAGATTGAATTTGCAGTCTTTATGTAAATTTGCCATCTTGATGTATAAATATTTTGTGGTTGGTTTACAAATATTTTGCTAAAACCTACAGAAAATAAGCACTAAACTGTTTTTATTATGATTCACCATTTGTTCACACTGAAAATTTTCACTGATGGGGAATACAAAAATGTTTTAATAACTGCATTTAAAAATAAATGCAGGCTAACTTTTCCACATGTAAAAAGTAACTTAACACCTGCACATCATAAAATTTGAAAAGGGGGTTGATTAATCTTTGTCCAAATACACCCATTAAAAAGGTTTTAAAACATACAATGAAACTTCTTTATAATTTTAAAATCTAGCGCAGGCACCCCTGGTTTTGGAGTTGTTTAAAGTTTTCTGAGGAGGAATCATTGTGAGCTTTTTATTTCACTAAGTGGTAATTCTTTATGCAGTAGGAAAATGTTTGACAGGGTCTCGATCTATTACATATAATGAAGTTTCACTGTATTTAAAACCTGATCAACCCTACATAAATGTTGCTTTTCATAATTCACTGAATTTATTTATATTACATTCTTAATTCAACCTGCATTAATTTGGGGGACATTGTATCATTCACCTTTTCTAATTGTAGAGGCTGGGATTTTCCAGTTTTATTTCTCTAGCATCTATTCAAATACTTGCCTATTATTTAAGAACTACTAATTTGGGGGACATTGTATCATTCACCTTTTCTAATTGTAGAGGCTGGGATTTTCCAGTTTAATTTCTCTAGCATCTATTCAAATACTTGCCTATTATTTAAGAACTATAGGAGCCTTTTAAATGGAAAAAAGAAAAAGAAAAAAAATGTCATATAGATCTGTTCAGATATCTCAGGAAAAGAAAAAGAAAAAAAATGTCATATAGATCTGTTCAGATATCTCAGGAGACAAAACTGAGAGCTGTGTTAGCCCCTGCCAATCATTTGCTATCTACAAGAGAGCTCCCTTCACTGTGTTTTCATCATATCCACTTTCAGGTGGCACCACCTAAGAGGTGACCTGAATGCTACTAACCACTGATGGTGCTGCCCTGTGGCTATGGTCAGATGATACTGATTGTAGTGCGATCTCCCTTGACTTCTGGGCCAAGATGGGTAAATAGAATGACAAATGCACCCTTTTTAGGAATGAGCTTACAGTGTAAACAGGTGATGTCTAAGGGCTTCTTAGGTACAAAAATTGTGATAGGTATACCCAACTCCATGAGATTTCAAGGTCTTATCTTTAAGAGGAGCTGGTGTATCCATCTTATTCTCATTTCCTCTCTATCTCAACAAGCAAATTACCAGGTTCTGCCAGAGGGCTTTCCCTTTTGATCATTCTAATGCAAATGAATGCATTTGCTAGAAAAGAGAAAAATAAAACAAAACAGAAACCTCTCAGGATAGAGGATTAAGTGGAAGAAAATGTGACTAAAATAAAAATTCCAGTTGCTTTCTTTATAATGCACAGGGGACAAACAGCTCTAGGTTTTTCCTCAACTTTCCATAGAATCTTTGAATTACAGGGCTCAACTGAAAAATAAAATCTCAGCAACAAAGGTATATCCTCCACAGCTTTCATGTGCAAAACGATTAATAATTTAACTAAATTCTGCAAAATATAAAGTGCATACAAATGCTACACAGTTATAACAATCATTCTTAAAAAAAGTATTACTGCTGTTTGCAATATTGAGCTACAAAAATATATGATTCAAACTGAAAACCGGCATTTTAAATAGCAGTAATTCTTAAAGAGAAATAAAACGACAAGAAGGACGGGACACGACTTACTCACTAGGCAGAACATTCACATTTCGGTTATTTTGCCAATGAAATCATTATATGGATATATTACTTTGAAGAAAAATAACTTCAAGAACTCTAATTATAATTCTCAAGGTGAGAAAAAAAAAACCTAGTATACAAAACCAGCTGAAATGTATTTACATCTTCTGAAAGGAGATAGACTATGTTAATTTAGTGAAAAGAATGGTCTTTAATGTTTTGGCAAAGTCTTTTCCAGCCCAGAGTAAACACAAAATGAGCAGGCTGGAGGGAAATATTTTCACAGTGTACAAAGCAGTTCACATGGATGTTGCCACAGCAAAGTAAGCTGACATGTATTGAGGTCATTTGCATGAGTCAAACTTTGCAATGAGTAATTCACCTAGGAAGATACAAATTATTTATATAATGATTTCCAAAAGAAATTGTCTACTAAAGTCGTACTAGCTACATTTAATAAAAAAGTAGTTCTACATGGTTTGTTCATTATAAACAAATCTATTCACAGTATGCTTGACTACATTACATGTAAAATCATATGGCAAACGAAAATGAATTAACACAGAACATGGGAAAATATCCCCACATATGTTTTAAAATGCCCTGCAATTTTCACATTCAAAATTTTATGCATCTATATCTAAAAAAATATTATATGGAATACTCTTAAGTTACACAAACTGATAATAATTTACTGTATTTTTTTTACTCTAATAGGAGCAAATTACCACATACTTGAACAAAGTTAAAATAGTTACTATTTCTTTATAATAAATTTGATGTATAATTTACTTGTGCTTTTTGCACCAATTTATAAATACAGTGTATGCAATACATGACCAAGACTAACACCAACATTAATAATTAAATTCAAAATAGCAAATACTTACCATACAAAATAAACAGCAAATACACCTTTTATGAAAACCAGAGCCTTCTGGACTTTGGGTCCAGATTCTCTGGAAACCATGTCAAGTCTGAGCACTGTGGAATCTCAGGCCAGTTGCAAATTTTTTTTTTTCTTCAAGGTGACATAAAGTTCAGGAGAACCAAAATGGGACAGAGTCATTTTTACCAAAACAGACAATAAATACTTGAAATGATTCCACTGTGGTTCTCTCAGGCCTTTAGAATTTACATTTGTACCCTCAAATTCAAGTACAGCTACTTCTAAGAGGCTTCCACACATCCTAGTGTGGCTCTCACAGAAGCCTTGGTTTAATTAAGTTCTTGGTTTAAGAATTTTAAGTACTAAGCAACAATCTGTTTCAGCATCTTTTGACCACAACAAAAGCAAAGCAAAGTTCTACATAAATAAGAACAAACTTCATAAAGTGCTTATGAAATTACAAACATTTCAAACTAGAGTGATGCAAATAAATGTCCATTTCACCACTGCAGGTGAATGCAATATAAACGGGTCTTTCCCGTCAAGATCTCACACACTTTTCAAATCAGTAGTTTGGTCCAGCACAGGGAAAAAACAAAACAAAAATTCACTATTATTAAATACATAAACATCTTAAATCCACCATAATTCATTCTTCCTGTAAATATGAGATTCAAAAAAAGCACCAGTTTCAAAAGGTCCGCTACCACACTCTTCCTGGAGTAGGCCTGCATGATCCACATTTTTAAACCTACTTTAAAGTGGAACGAGACAAAATCAAACTACAACTTCTCCTTCGCTTTTTGTTTAAACACCTTTGTGTGAAATGTAGCATAAAATATAGTAAAATGTCAAAGAAATGAAAGCACAAAGGGGCATGTCTAAGGATGGCGAATGAAATTAAATTCAATTTTCTATTTTTCAGTGCAGACATCAAACTTCATGTCTTTTCCTCTTCTAGATTCAGAAGTGTGAAGGATGCCCATACGGAGTCACTCCTTGCTGTGGCTGATTACCTAATGAGAAAAGTAAATTCTAATAAAATTACAGATGCAAAATTGTGTCACAGATAGATGCTATCCTCTTGTCACCGCTCTCAGTACCAGCCTCACGTATAGAGGAATAGACTGATGTGACCTGAAAGACCCTAATGGCGGGATCCAAATTCCCCACTAACTTCATTCCGCAGAGGGGCCAACTCTACATAAGAGTCCCCTATCTGCCACGGCAAAGCCTCAGGATTAAGGTAACTGGCTCACCTAAAGTGTTTCCCTCTGAACTAAATTCAACATCAACATACAAAAAGACTAAAAGTCTCACAAAAACTAAAAATTCTCAAAATGTTTATAAGTGCAAATCAGCAATTCTGCCTTAACACTGACATTACAATGGGTGAGAGAAAATTAGCTTGGAATTGGGCAATTTTCTACAAATGGCCATAAGATATATACAATAGAACTGTGCAAGGGGGAAGGTATGTGCAAGAGTGGACGCTGTGGGTGTCCGCGTGTGCCTGTGCATGTATGCATGCATAATCACGTGTACACACACACAGAAAAATAAACAGTCAATACATACCAAAAAATGACAGGCTTAGAAACAGCTAGTGGTTGCAGAACTCTGGATTATTCAAATCCAGAAGCCTCATTCACATGGGCCACGATACAACAGGAGCCCTCTGGAGTTGTGCAGAGGACAGTGCAGCTTAGCTGCCACTCTTCAACAAAGGAGTTTGGCCTAACTGCTAATATCAGGCAGTAGAGTACAGTGAGCCCTCACTGTCTGCAGGGGTTCCAGTACATCCACCCCAGGATTCCAAACCCTCTGGAGTTGTGCAGAGGACAGTGCAGCTTAGCTGCCACTCTTCAACAAAGGAGTTTGGCGTAACTGCTAATATCAGGCAGTAGAGTACAGTGAGCCCTCACTGTCTGCAGGGGTTCCAGTACATCCACCCCAGGATTCCAAACTCCACAGAGGCTCAAATTCCTTATATAAAATGGCATCATATTTGCATGTAACCTATGCACATCCTCCCATATACTTTAAATCATCTCTAGATTACTTATAATACCTAATACAGTGTAAATGCTATGTAAATAGTTGTTATGCTGTATTATTTCTTATTGGTATATTGTTATTTTTATTGTTTTGGGGTTTTTTGTTTGTTTGTTTTTTAATATATTCGATCCATGGTTGGCTAAATGGAACCCACAGATATGGAGGGCAAACTGCATGTTGTGGTTAAGAGGTGGGCTCTGGAAGGAAACTATCTGAGTTCAAGTCCCAGCTCTGTCCCCTACTGTTACCTGAATAAACTTGGGAAAATTTATCAATATCCCTGTCCTTCAATTGTTTCCTCATCTACAATACTGAAACAGTAATAATACCTAATCTCATAGGGTGGCTTAAGAATTAAGTAAATTAGGGGCCGGCCCGGTGGCGCACTGGATAGTGCGCCGCTTGGGAGGCGCGGCGACGCTCCTGCCCGAGGGTTCGGATCCCACATACAGACCGGTTCCCGCTCACTGGCTGAGCGAGGCGCGGGAGCAACACCGAGGGTTGCGATCCCGTTGCCGGTCCCCGGTCCGGTACGGGGGCAACACTGAGGGTTGCGATCCGTTGCCGGACACGGAAAAAGACAAAAGACAAAAAAAAAAAAAGAAAGAATTAAGTAAATTAATACATGTAAAGTCATAGTGCCTGGGGCTAAGAAAGTGCTCCATAAAGGATGGCTTTAAAAAAAAAAAAAAGCTGCCTCCCTTGACCTCTGGAAAGCAGGAAATAAGAGTAGATGTGTTCCCCCAAACAGGTGCTATATAAAAAAATCATAGTTACCTATCTTTAAACACTAGGAAAAATGTCTCTGCCTTAAGATTATATTCTCTGAAAGAAAATGAACTCCGGAATTAATAAAATACAATGAAATTTTAATTACAAATAGACCAAACCTATTAAACAGTAGCTAGAAAAGAAGATTGTTTTGCTTGATTTAACTGAAATTAAATGAGGCCATAAAAGGGAAGTATTTTTAAGGGAACAACAAAAAAAAGATCTTCGGTATGCACTAGCAGGGACACCGAGGTGTGAAAGGGGCATTCCCTCTGCCAGGAAATCAACAGGCACGGCAGCCAGACAGAAGATTAAGACTACAACCAAGCTGCCCCTCAGTCATTTAATGACCTATTTCCTTACAATATCAGCAGGCTGCCAGACAGACATGCACCACTGCCTTGGCCACAATCGGTCCTCACTCTGTACTCCACAAGCATGTAATTCAAGACCCAGAAGAAACTGCTGGTCTCACTCCTTACCACATGGCTAGAAAAACTACATGAGCCAGATAATGGTGGCCAAGTTAGCACCAGGATTTAGGTCTCCTGACTCCCGGGCCAATCTTCTTTGCATCACAAGGGTCTTGCTCCCATTTCTAAAAGGATTTCCTGTCCTGTGACTCCAGCACAGGGCTGGTTTGATTCATGAGAGCACACTGCTGGCACCGAGATGAGGTAGGATGAAATGAGCTGTTGGTGTGTGCTCTAGAGAGGTAGCACCATCTAAAAGAATCACACCACCACAGCATGCAAGATTGCTGGGGAGAAAACACTGCCTTGCCATGCTGTCTGTGATATGACAGGTTTTGGTTTCTCGGAAGCATTATCAGGAAGGGTAGGATGGTGCAGTGGTAGGAGCCACAGGCTGATCCTGGCCTCCCTCTATCTGAGACCTTTGGGAGGCCGTCCTAACCTCATTCGCCTGTATACTTAACAGCATCCGCTGAGTAGCTCCCTGAATCCTCCAGTGTTATAAAAAAAAGGGTACCTGAGGCTGTTCAGGGTCGTCCAAATGAAAAGAAACATTTCCAGGTTATGATGGAAGCAACAGAAAAACATCTTCACTCGATTTAAGAAAAAGATTGGGGTTTTTCCAGGAAATGAAGCATTCAAGCCAAAACCAAACCAAACCAAGACAAATAAAAACATTTGAACTAAACCATTCTGGACTAAGAAAATGGTGTGGAGGAAAACAGGGCCGTTTTGAGATCTACCGCTTGTGTTTGGCTTGCCTGCCCGTGTTTAGTTTCCTGGGAGCTGTCTCCCCACGGCAGACACAGTACTTACTAGAAAGCTGCTTCTGGAGCTGCCGCACCAGGGCAGCCGTCTGCTGCTGCTGCTGGGTCTGCTGCAAGCCTTGCCTGGGAAACTGTAATTGCGACAGGAGAAAGGACGTACATCAGCCCATGGTGCCAATCACAGACAAGAACAGACACTTAATCCCGGGGTCGGAGAGCCTGAAATGTACTTTTAAATACTTCCAATGCCGTGTCTAGAGTATGTAAACTGATTTTCATCTACACCCTGTTGCACATCCGGTCAGCTCCTGAACTGCCCCATCCTTTCAGGAGCCCACTCTCCAGGTGGCTAGCTGGCAT